GGAGCGGAAGAACACCAATTGATGGAGAAGGAGGATACATATTCAGATGTGAAAGAGAACTCTGAATATTTGGATGCACCAAGGAAGGAGGAGAGAAAACGCCCACCTAAAGGAAGGAATAATTCTGGTCTTTTACAAAGAAATGATTCTCTACAGCAAAAATGTCAACGAGACAACAGAAATAAGTGCACTGCAAGCAGGGAAAATTTCACTGAAATATCAGATATTAATATTCAACAAAGGAAGTGTAAAAGAAAGAAAATATATGACTGTCTGGAGTGTGGAAAAAGTTTCAGGCAGAGAGTGCACCTTACTTCCCATGAAAGAATTCACACAGGGGAGAAGAAGTATAAATTCCTGGAGTGTGGGGAAAGCTTCAGTCACAGTTTCAGTTTTCCTTCCCATGAAAGAATTCACACAGGGGAGAAGAAGTATAAATTCCTGGAGTGTGGGGAAAGCTTCAGTCACAGTTTCAGTTTTCCTTCCCATGAAAGAATTCACACAGGGGAGAAGAAGTATAAATTCCTGGAGTGTGGGGAAAGCTTCAGTCACAGTTTCAGTTTTCCTTCCCATGAAAGAATTCACAAAGGGGAGAAACCATATGAATGCCTGCAGTGTGGGAAATGGTTCAGGAAGCGTTCACACCTTACTTCCCACCAAAGGACTCATACAGGGGAGAAGAAATATAAATGTCTGGAGTGTGGGGAAAGCTTCATTCAGAGTAACAATCTTAGTTCCCATCAAAGAATTCACACAGGGGAGAAACCATATGAATGCCTGGAGTGTGGGAAAAGTTTCCGTTGGAGTACAGTCCTTACTTCCCACCAAAGGATACACACAGGGGAGAAACCACATAAATGCCTGCAGTGTGAGAAAAGGTTCAGGAAGCGTTCACTCCTTACTTCCCACCAAAGGAGTCATACAGGGGAGAAGAAATATAAATGTCTGGAGTGTGGGAAAAGCTTCATTCAGAGTAACAATCTTAGTTCCCATCAAAGAATTCACACAGGGGAGAAACCATATGAATGCCTGCAGTGTGGGAAAAGGTTCAGACATCGTTCAAACCTTACTTCCCACCAAAGGATACACACAGGGGAGAAACCATATAAATGCCTGGAGTGTGGGAAAAGCTTCAGTCACCGTGGAAGCCTTACTTCCCATCAAAGAATTCACAAAGGGGAGAAACCATATGAATGCCTGCAGTGTGAGAAAAGGTTCAGGAAGCGTTCACACCTTACTTCCCACCAAAGGACTCATACAGGGGAGAAGAAATATAAATGTCTGGAGTGTGGGAAAAGCTTCATTCAGAGTAACCATCTTAGTTCCCATCAAAGAATTCACGATGGGGAGAAACCATATGAATGCCTGCAGTGTGGGAAAAGGTTCAGACATCGTTCAAACCTTACTTCCCACCAAAGGATACACACAGGGGAGAAACCATATAAATGCCTGGAGTGTGGGAAAAGCTTCACTGTGAGTTGCAGTCTTATTTCCCATCCAAGAATGCACACAGGGGAGAAACCATATCAATGCCTGGAGTGTGGGAAAAGCTTCACTGTGAGTTGCAGTCTTATTTCCCATCCAAGAATGCACACAGGGGAGAAACCATATCAATGCCTGGAGTGTGGGAAAAGCTTCCGTTGGAGTTACAGTTGTACTTCCCATCAAAGAATTCACACAGAGGAGAAACAATACGTATGCCTGCTGAGTGGGAAAAGGTTCCATCGGAGTGGAGGTCTAACTTCCCACCTAAGGACACACACAGGGGAGAGGAAATGTTTCACACTCATGATTTTAATTACATTTATGAATGTTTATGCATTATGTCTTTTCATAACCTTTGTAACGTTCACTGCTCAGGAACAGTTCAGAACCGCCCGTCAACGCTGACAGTTCATTAGTGTAACTGAAGAAATAGGAGATTTATTTCTCTGGAATTACAAACAACATCTATTTTGTCTTACAACACTTGCTTTGAGAATTTAATGGCAGCTATCATGTATTTGTTTTATTTGGAGGACAATCGTATATTGAAACTCAAAAGTGTCACCTCTACCAATAGGGTCTAATCAGGCTTTCTACTGGTGGCTTCCAACCAGAAAAGACCTTATATTTGGCGAGCATATCACGTGTGCCGGGCTCCCCGTTGTACATAGCCTATCATGTTAAAAACTGACTTCCCTAAATCTTAGATAATTGTAATGCTTACATATTTAGCTAAGTCTGAGAAATGTTAGCAGGCCTGATTTTTGTTGCGTGCATTTTTCTGTAGCTGTATGATTAACTTTCACCTGTTCATCAGATTCGTGCCCAATACAAAGAGCATGCTTTATTTTAAATAAAATCATTCTCTCTAAGAAGTACACTGTTTGTTCTACTGACGGAAGATCTGAAGTCTGCCCTCAAATATTTCACTGTACTGGAAGAGATGAGTCTCTCATAAAGTTTGCTCACTTAAACCCGAATGGGTCATTCTGCTTGAATTGGTGTTCTTATCAGGCTCAATTCAAACTGATGGGCCATCACATACAATGCCCATCACAACCTGGGTCCCTCATACCTGCTGTATAATGGTTTTAGCATTGAACGTGACATGTTGATGCTTATGCTTGGTTTCAGGACTTTCCCCCCAGATTTTCTGCTCGTTTTCTGATTTTTTTTTTATAAACCAAACTTCTATTGGTGTAGTGGTTAAGTGCGTGGACTCTAATCTGGGAGCCGCTCTGAGACTCCTTTGGGTAGTGAAGGGGCAGGGTATAAATCCAATCGCTTCCTCCTCCTCCTCCTCTTCTTCTGTATTGTTTTCTGAATGTTGCTGTAATACCTACCCTGCTACATGCAACTGGGGCTGCTACGACAGAAAAGCTTGCAGCACAGGGAAGGGGAACCAGCCCCTCCCCATGATCAGGCCCTCAGGGGAAGCTGGGGCAGAAAGAGGGGGAAGGCTGAAGAGGAGATGATGCCGTTCCCCGGGAACCCAGAAAAAGTGCCACTGGTCAGCCTGGCGGCAGAAGGCAACTGGTTGTTCTCAGTGTCCCTGGCAAGGAAAAGGGGCGTTGGAGACATGATACGCAAGCCCCTGCAGCAGCAGAAGTGCCGGGGGCCATGCAACGGAGAACAGCCCCTGACTGAAGGGTCATGGCCTGGAGTCAGCAGCAGCAGAAGAAGAGATTGGATTTATACCCCACCCTTCACAACCCAAAGGTGTCTCAGAGCGGCTTACAAACTCCTTTCCCTTCCCCTCCCCACAACAGACACCCTGTAAGGCAGGCGGGGCTGAGAGAGCTCTTGACAGAACTATGGCTTGTCTGAGGTAATCCAGCCAGGTGCAAGTGGAGGAGTGGGGAATCAAACCCGGTTCTCCCAGATTCGAGTCTGCGCACTTAACCAGTACACCAAACTGGTTTCACCCCTGCGGCCCCCATCTTTTCCCCTTGGGACATCTATGCCCATGTAAGAGGGTTGGGCCATAGATAGTAGCTGTGCAAATTCTCCAAATCGTTCTCCATAAAAATAGAAATATAATTAATAAGGTTTATAAATTGGTCTAATTTCTAGAATAATTTTAGCCTAGGAAACATTTAAATTAGCCAACAAACCTGGCTGCAAATATCCCATTCGTCAGGATGTGTCTCACTTCCATCAAAGGTAGTAGTCAAATTACAAACAGCTAACTTTACATCGTTATGTAGTAAAAACCCAGGGATGATGCAATCGCCCACATGCATTACCAGGGGTCATTTCGTAGAAAAAGAGGTGCACGAGCTCATTAGCATAACTTATTAGCATAACTTATTTGCATATGCCACACCCCCTGACATCACCGGAAGTGTGTTTTGGATTGCTAGCTTTGGGGGGAACACGCAAATCGGCCCTCACAGAGGAGAGAGAGCTTGTACCTGAAGGCGGGCTGGGGGGGGGGGCTCTGCAACTTACCTGGCTGCTTCTTGTTCCTCGTGGCCTGACTGAGGGCTGCTGGGAACAGGGGGAAGGGCTTATTGCATGTGCCCGCCCCCTGAGCTCCTTATTGCCGGAGTGCCGCTCCTGTGCGCTCCCGCAGGAAATGACCCCTGTAGCATTACAGAATGCTATTGCCAAGGAAAAGATTACAAGGTGGGAGGGGGTGAAGAGGGGAGAGAGAGAGAACACAAAGGGGGGTGGGCCCGGAATCACAAGGTCAGCACAACGAACTGCAGAATGGCAGGTGCATTTTTTCAAAGGCAGCAAGTCCAATGTAAGAGGGGTGCCATCTTCCAGACGGGGTCTGGAGACCTCCCAGAATTACAAGTGAACTACAGACTACAGAGATCATTTCCTCTGGAGAAAACACAGCCCCATTGAGGCTGAGCTCTACAGCCCGCGGAGGTCCTTCCCCTCCCTTTCTGCCCTCCCTGGTTCCCAACCCCAAATCTCCAGGAATCTCCCAAGCTGGAGATGACAACCCTACTACGTAACTCACTGTACCGGCTGGGGCAAGAATGCAAAGGTTTCCTTTTGGGGGGGGGAAACCTTTAAAAACGCCTCCTGAAACCGCAGCAGGAGGAGGGGATTTTAAACAGGGCTGCCCTCCAGAGAGGACCCCGACTCTGTGCTGCAGTTCTTGGGGGGGGGGGGCTTCTCCAGGGGAAAAGTGGTGGTTTTTCAACACAGGCTTTTCAGTTTTCTTTCCAGGATTCTTTCCTGTCAACGGAACAGTTTCCTCTGGTGTCAGGCGTCTTCAGGGCCCTTCCGACAGAAAGGCAGCGTTCAGAAAGGACATAAGAAACAAAAACGAAGGAAGCCGAGTCCTGCCCATCTATCAAAGTGATGGACTGACAAGGCTGCTCATAGGTGCCAAAAAAATAGGATTTCCAGATCCAGGTTGGGAAACTCCTGGAGATTTGGAGCTGGGGCCTGGGCAGGAGAGGGGCCTGTGTGGGGTGGCATTCCATAGATCCCCCCCCACCCTCCAAAAGCCTCCTTTTTCTCCAGGGGGAACTGATCTCTGTAGTCTGGAGAGGAGCGGTCATTCCAGGGGATCCCCAGGGCCCACCTGGAGGCTGGCATCCAGATAGGAAACCCCTCTTCATGATTATCATAGGGATTTTTGAAATCTTCACCCCTTTAAAATAGGCCTGACGTTTTGCGGAGGGAAATCATAGTTCATTCTATTCATTTGCCCTTTTCTCAGAGGCTCTGCCTGCATTTTCCCTCCTGGCTCAGAAGAAAGAAGAAGAAGAAGAGATTGGATTTATACCCCACCCTTCACTACCCAAAGGAGTCTCAGAACGGTTTAGAAACTCCTTCCCCTTCCCCTCCCCACAACAGACACCCTGTGAGGTAGGTGGGGCTGAGAGAGTTCTGACACAAACTGCTCTTTTTCAAGAACAGCTCTGACAGAACTAGGGCTTGCCCAAGGTCATCCAGCAGGTGCAAGTGGAGGAGTGGGGGATCAAACCCGGTTCTCCCAGATTAGAGTCCAACACCTAACCACTACACCAGGAAAGGGCTGAAATGCTCTCTAAGCAGGGGTTGTTGGGGGGCGGGGCCTTTTTATGGGTGGCCCTTCTCGCCAGGGTGGTGTCCCAACACCTTTTTGGAGGGGGAGTCCCAATTCCTGAGTTGGGAACAGTGTTCCCTCTAAGCTGAGTTAGTGTGAGCCGGCTCACAGTTTTTTTAGCCTCCGGCTCACACATTTTTGTTTTCGCTCAGGAAGGAGGGCTCCAGAGCAAACGGATTTGTGCAGCAGCCCAATCGCTCGCTCACAACTTGAATGCCAGTCGCTGACAAAGTAGAATTTTTGCTCACGGGACTCCACAGCTTAGAGGGAGCATTGGTTGGGAATGGTGGAGATCACAGTGCCACCCTTACAGATCAGTCCCACCACCCTTTTCCCTTTTCCAAAATGAGCCCTGTCTCGAAGGGTTAAAGAGAGAGAGCCGCAGTCGTAGAGAGGCACACGGGGGGGGGGGGGGCGGGGGGGGGGGGGGGTGGCAGCCATTGCCGCCGCCTCCTCCGGCGCTCCTTGCAAGAAAGCGCCTCTGAATCGGCTCGAACGGCTGGGAGGGAGTCTGGTGAGCTTACAGAGCTTTTGGAGGGGCAAAATATAGGTCGGGGGCTGCAGTGCAAGAAGCAAAGCAGAGAGAAAGGAGGGGGAATGTAGCAGAGGGTGAAAGGGAGCACACACACCCTCCCCCAGTTTCTGCCTTGCCTCCTCTGGCTCCCCCCCCCCCACCCCCCCCCCCCGCC